CTATAAAACATCTTTAAGGTATAAATGAAAAAAAACGCAAACACCTGTAATGTATCATCTCATAAAGTTATATAGTTTTAGTTGTTAGAAGTAATTCTGGAGGAGTCCCAAATAATGATTCCTCTTAGAGATTTCTAAGCATCCATCAGTTGAAATGAGAGGAAGGGTAATGACTGTATTAAGAATGGCAATAATCAAACACCTAATGACCCTGAAAATGGAGAGAATTATGCCTAATGTAAAAACAAAGAATGCTTTATGTAATGAGCTATGTAGATATATCATATTAATGCTCTTTTGTTATTAGAGCTTCACATTATAAATTAGTTCCCATTATAATGAGATCAGAAAAAAGGGTGGAAAGAAAGAAAAGTGAGGGGCTATTAAAAAGAGTCAATCTCTAAAAAGAAGAAAATTACCTTGTTAGAACTTCTGAAACTTTTTGGTGGAAGTTGGTGAAAGGAAAGAAAGAAGGTGAGTGGGTCAAGGCACTGCTCCTTGAGCTTTCTTCTCATATTGTCATGTACCTTTGAAGGCATATACAATTATGTGTTATTTACAGCATTCTTACACTCAAATCCCTGCCTATGATTTTTGGGAAATAAATGTGGTTTAGAGGTCTACTGTTTGAATTTCCTAAATGAGATTTTTTTATTTATTTTTTTGCCATGTCCCTAATTTTAGAAAAATTACAATTCAAAACTGTCTTAAAAATGTGTAAAGTCTATACTTTAAAAATGATTTGTTTGGATTTGGGTGACTTGAGGTAGTTTTAGTGATTGATAGTGTTTTATTTTTTAATGGTTTTGTAGTAAAACTTAGTGTTTAACTCTTCTTTGTATGGAATGTGGGACCTGTCTATATTTATGAATATTTATCTAATGTAATTTTAATAGTATTATTATTGTAAAAGAGAATTAGTTAAATCAAATCTTATATGATATTAATACTTTTAGGTATTCCTAAAAGTCAAAATGCTTTCTTATAAAATAGGACTTTTCTAGCCTTTTAACAAGTTGGCATATAATTGACATACAATATCCTATTAGTTTCAGATATACATCATAGTGATTTGATATATATATAGATATATATATATATATATCTATATATATATATATATATATTAGAAATGATTCCCATGGTAAGTCTACTTACCATCTCTCATTACACAAAGTTATGACAATATTTTTAACTCTATTTCCTATGCTGTACATATGTCCTCATAACTTATTTATTTCATAACTGGAAGTTTGAACCTCATAATCCCCTCTACCAATTTTGTGTTCCCCCCAACCGCTCCCCTATGGTAACCAACAGTTTGTTTCCTATAGCTATGAGTCTGTTTCTGTTTTGTTTGTTTGTTTTGTTTTTTAGATTCCACATATAATTGAAATCACATGGTATTTATCTTTCTCTGTCTGACGTATTTCACTTAGCATAATACCCTCTAAGTCTATCCATGTTGTTACCAATGGCAGAATTTCATTTTTTATGGCTGCGTAGTATTCCGTTGTATATATACATCACATATTATTATTCATTCATCTATCGATGGACACTTAGGTTGCTTCTATATCTTGACTATTGTAGAAAATGCTGCACTGAACATAGGGGTGCATATATGTCTTTGAATTCGTGTTTTTATTTTCTTTGGATGCACCCCCATGTTCATTGCAGCATTATTTACATTAGCCTTTTTGTATTACATTTAAATATTTAGTTTCAAACCTCGACATAATTCTCATTCTAAGATTGTTATTCTAACTTGTTTTATAAATTTTTCTGGTAATGAGAAATGCACTTCCATTCTCTTTACCTAAAACCCTGAAGATTTTAGCAATAATAGGGTCTTCCTGAAAGGCATTCAACATGAAGGAAAGAATAGGGCTTCTGTCCTTACAAATTGTTGTTTGAAATCCGAAAGAATTCTTCTTGGACATTTCCTGACTATCAGCCATTGGTGAAAAGGAGAGAGGAAAGGATGGGATTCATCAATATGGCGTTAAATAATGACAGTTTTGACCTGTTTCAATCCTAGATCCATGACTCTGTAATAGTAGGCAAGTTAAACTTACCTTTTCTAGTACCCACTTTCTTCCCTTGGAAAATGATAATGATGGTACTTACTTTGTAGAAAGTTAAGTTTTTATAGAGAAAAAAAAGCACATAGCATAATGGTTAGCACATAGAATGTGTTCAGCAAATATTAGTTATCTTCCATTCTCATCTTAATTTCTCTAATTTAATTCTGAAATAATTGGTAAATTAGTTCTAAGTCACTTTTAAGAAAAGTGCCTACCCCATAAGAATGTTTAAAATAGTGAATGTTTATTGATAGTAAGTCAAAATAAGTGGAAATGTTTTTAACCTCCATCAAATAAATGAGCTTAATTTACTTTCTTTGAAGTTGGGTATGGGTAGCTCAGGTACTATATGACAAAGTTCTTTGACTCTCTGAATCTTTTTCATGTTAGGATAAAAAGTGGACTAAACAAGCATTCGGCTTATTTTTATTACTCTTCTGAGGTCATATTTGACCTTAAATATTTTCCCAAATAGATTTTAGTATATAGGTTTGTACAGTTAACTACAGCAAATTCAGCAATTTAGTGTGGGTGTGGTAGGGACTTGAGAGATCATTAAGTGATTTTTAACGTCTATTAAAATATAATTATAGAGAATAAAAATAGTAGCTATATCATTTGAGTTCATGAAGACTTAGCTGATTTTTAATAATTAATAAGTTTTTTCTGCCAATGAGCATTAGATTACTGCTGACTTTTTAATGTCATAGCACCTTGTGGTAGTTTCTCTGCAGGGTTTAAAGATGTATCCCAGTTTTGTTTTCTTTTTCTGGTTCTGCCCATAGGAAATAATCTTTGCAAATGCTGTAGGGAGAATATCTCCAAAAGTCCATATATGCCATTAACATGTTATGAGGATCGGTCAGTCCCATTGTCTTCTTTTGTCAATCTTGATCGGAGCATGCTGAGTAAGTCTATAAGCCTGCATGTGCCTGGCAACTGTTACCTAGTGACAGTTTCAGCTGCAGTAGCCATTGGCTGTGCTGTTGATTGGGGCAGGAGGACCGAGTCACCTTTCTGATGGTGAGTTCTTCTGCATCAGCTCAGGGTGAGGAGGAGGAGCCGGGCTCCGGCTCAGGTGGAGGCAGTGATGCCGAGCGACTGTGAAGAATATCCCGGCAGCATCCTGGGAGCTGCATCGCAGTGAGTCGGACTTCTGAAGCCAGCAGCCCAGCCGAGCAGCTGAGAGTGAATGTAGGTGAGAAGCACTGCCTTATTCCTGTAACAAGAGAACTACTTTGTGACAAGTGAAGCTGGGAATGTGCAAGGAGGAGTATCTTGTGGCTGTTTTAAAAGAAGGACTTCCCTGCATGACTTGGTGATGCACGAGAAAATAAGTTTCAGAAGAGTGCTGCTGCATTGTTCCTGAGGAAGTCTATATTTTTACTGCATGGCATTTCTTCAAAAGGTGTGACAACAAAGGCTGACAAGCAACTCTCCGAAATGCCTGTACTTTAAAAAAGACTCTTGACAATGCTAACCTTGGACCAGAACGACCTTCGAAGCCTTTTGGGTGGATTCTATCCTGCCAGCCTTTCAGTATTTCAGACTCTAGGATTTAAACTCATCTTGATGTGTTAGAGGTATTTTAAAACAAGACCATCTTACTACCTACCTAATGGCCCCTGTGTTAATTGAGCGCTTGCTCAAAATAGAACGCAGAAATAGAAGAGACATTTTAAAAAACATATGGCTGCTACATAACTGCAAATATAACAAACAAGGTAATTTTCTACTTTCAGAAGATTTAGTTGAAATAATGATTTCATGTGTTAATCATCTAATTAAAATAGAAAAGGTAGAGAAATATAGATTATGATGCCTACTAGAAATACCTAAGTAAATAATGGCAGCATTTCTAGTCAAGTAAGCTCAAAATAGATAGGAAAGTTTCTGTTGTCTAAATTTCATATAAATTCACATATATGTGTGAGATATAGGTGTGGTTGCAAGGTGAGCAATAACTTTGAGCTATATATTTTATGATCATGCTTCATTGTAAGGAAGGTGGCATATCAGAAATGAAAGTTAATGATGCTGAAATTAATAGCAAAATGATTTATTTTTCTTTTGAAAAGGAAGAAGTATAAATTACATTGTTGATGGTAGCACCAGTAATTGTAATAGATCAAAACTGTTTTCTTCTGAATGCTTAAAAAATGCATGCAGAATGAAAAGTTTATCATATTTTGTCAGGTGTTAACCCATTGCCTATTATCTCCCCTACTGAAAATATGTGTGTGTTTTCTCATGAAAGCTATATGGCAATCTGGAGTCTGTTACCTCTGTTCTGCTCCTTTGTGCCCAAATCAGATGAGTCGTTTGGAATTAACCTTTTCGGGAAAGGGGGTGGTGGTGGCGGTTCTTAGCTTTTTAAAGAAATGAGAGAGAAATGGATCATAAAATTGACCCACCAGCCTCAGACCCTCAGTTGAGCCCAAAGACACTCTGTTACCATGAACTTTTTCTTAGCTTTCTAACCAAATCTGAGATCTTAGTTATTTAAATTCTAAAATATGAATCCACTTCTTATGGTAGATGAAACAGGAAGCCTGAGACAATTTCCGACTTTTCTTTTCTCATTCTTTCTAGTTGATCCTTAAGAAACAGCCTTTCTGAGGAGGACAGACAGCCCACAGAAGCTTTTCTTCCCATGGCAGTTGATTTTTTCCCCCAGATTCAATTTTTTATAGCGCAATATAATCCATTTTCTCTAGAAGTGCCTTGTGTTGGCAAAAAGTTGTTTGAGACCACCAGAGGAAGCTAGTGGGTGACCTTTTTTCCACCTCCTTAGTAGCTTATTCCCCTCCCTTTCCCCGCAAAGCTGAGGTGTGTCACTGCTGCACTGAGGCTGATGAAGAGACTTGAGTCCTCTCTGGGATGCTCAGCTGTGACAGAAGCACTGCCAACATCTCCCGAAGCTGATCCTGAGACACTCAGGTGCAGAGTGGAACAGATGCTGGCAGGGCACTGGCTTGCTGTAGCCAAGGCTGCAGGTTGCTTCAATTGCAAGCCATGAATGAATCCAGGTGGACTGAATGGAGGATCCTGAACCTGAGCAGTGGCCCTGTGAATGTGTCCGAGCGTCACTCCTGCCCACTTGGATTTGGCCACTACAGTGCTGTGGACATTTGCATCTTTGAGACAGTTGTTATTGTCTTGCTGACATTTCTGATCATTGCTGGGAACTTAACGGTCATCTTTGTCTTTCACTGTGCTCCACTTCTACACCATTATACCACCAGCTACTTCATCCAGACGATGGCATATGCTGATCTTTTCGTTGGAGTTAGCTGCTTGGTTCCTACTCTCTCACTTCTCCACTACTCCACAGGTATCCACGAGTCATTGACTTGCCAGGTTTTTGGATATATCATCTCGGTTTTAAAAAGTGTTTCTATGGCATGTCTTGCTTGCATAAGTGTGGATCGCTATCTGGCAATCACCAAGCCTCTCTCCTACAATCAACTGGTCACCCCTTGTCGACTGAGAATTTGCATCATTTTAATCTGGATCTACTCCTGCATAATTTTCTTGCCTTCTTTCTTTGGCTGGGGGAAACCTGGTTACCACGGTGACATTTTTGAATGGTGTGCCACCTCTTGGCTCACCAGTGCCTATTTTACTGGCTTTATTGTTTGTTTACTTTATGCTCCTGCTGCCTTTGTTGTCTGCTTCACTTACTTCCACATTTTCAAAATTTGCCGGCAGCACACCAAAGAGATACATGACCGGAGGGCCCGGTTTCCTAGCCACGAGGTGGATGCCTCTGGAGAGACAGGACACAGCCCTGACCGTCGCTACGCCATGGTCCTGTTTCGGATAACAAGTGTATTTTACATGCTGTGGCTCCCCTACATTATTTACTTCCTTCTGGAAAGTTCCAGAGTCTTAGACAATCCAACACTGTCATTCCTAACAACTTGGCTGGCTATAAGTAATAGTTTTTGTAACTGTGTAATATACAGCCTTTCCAACAGTGTTTTCCGGCTAGGCCTCCGAAGGCTGTCCGAGACAATGTGCACATCTTGCATGTGTCTGAAGGAGCAGGACACACGAGACCCCAAGCCCAGGAAACGTGCTAATTCCTGCTCCATTTGAAGAGAACTGCTTAGTAAATCAAGTGTAACTGACAGTGGTTTTGGATCATAGTCTTGATTCGTCTGGAAATTTGCCACTAGAGAAATATTTACTTGAATAGTTGACTATGAGATGGAAGGGACTAAAGGTTTCGGGTTTTTTTTTTCTTTTTTCATGGAGGAAAAAACTAAAGGAATGGATGTATAGAAAGTAATCTCATGAAATAATTATAGCATGTGAGTATCAGTATGCAGTAATAGGAAATGTTTAGCGCTGAGAATGACAAAAGTGTTTCAGATCTGCCACAGGATGTGAGCAAAGCCCCTTGGTGTCTGTTTCTCTGACCAAACTCTCTCCTCTGTCTTTGTCTCTTATTCTGTCTCTGTCTCTGTCTCTCTCACTCTCATTTTGTCTGTGGAAATTACTTACATCAATTACCCTCTATAGAAAACTGCTACATATTATATATGTGGCAAAGTATAATCTTTGGCATCAAAGTGTACTTTTAGACTCACTGATCTGAAATCCGTAAGTGGTCTCTCATGGATGCAGAGTAAACATTGTATGTTAGTACCTGCCACACAACCCTTTTGCTTGTGTTTTTATAATTTCTGCAGCACACATTTTCTGCCGTGAGCAAAAAGAAACAGTATTTTTATTTCATCAGGGTAAAATGATGCTCCTCACCCCTCCTTCCTGACAGCCTGCTGTATTTCCCTCCATCTGCGTCCTTTGGTACCTTAATCAAGAAGTGTCTTAGCTAATGAAAGATTCTACTATACAAAGCAATCATAATGTTAAATAATTTATTCCTTCCAACAAAGCAATCGATAGCCTGTTTGAGATGTTGTGTTAAGTATTTTTAATGGCTTTTGGAAACATTTTTTTCTGGTTCCTTTTAAATTCTTTCACGTTCCCAAAGTGCTGTCCTTTTTGCTATAGTAAAGCTTTGTTTTCCTTTAAGACAATCCACAAATAATTCTAATGCGGATGCAGAGTACTCACCGGAAGTGAGGCATCTCTCTTAAAGCTACCAGGTGTGTCTTTTTTTTTTTTTTTTAAAGAGTAAAATATTGACCTTTTTGTGTTAGGGCTACAAAACTTACTGTTCTGTCCACTAACCATTTGTGTGATATGCACTTGCACATAGTATATTTTTTACAACAAAGAAAATGTAAATTATGTTATCTGTGCCTAATGATTTCTTAGCACAATATATAGATCAGTGTTGCTTAAGTCACCAACATTGGGAAAAAATATACAAAAACTTCTTTTAAGAGAAAAATACTTTAGTGTAGTTGTTATTTAGATATTTATATTAGACCAAGCTGTATTCTTAGTACTGCTGAGAATATAATATACTTAGTTATGAATACAGGTAACAGCTTTCAGTATTTTCTTTTGTAATGATCTGTTTTCATATTCAGAGGTTAAATTAGCTTATTTTTTAGTGTGCTACATGGAATTGTGTAATAAATTGTCAGGGGTTTAGATGTAGCAAAATGGCATTTGGGAATTAGTAGTGACGCAGGTGTGAGTGGTAAAACATCTAAATCTTACTTTTTTACCATAATTTTCCTGCCTGACAGATATTTTAAAATTTATATCAAACTACTGAGTATTTTTCTTCTCAGCATTTTTGGTTTGTTTGTTTCATGAAATGCATTAGTGAAATGTGCCTATGGAAGCCAACCATGTTGCACACCGGTGGTTTGACTTCACAGGTCCTCTAATAGAAATGTCATCATTTTATTGAGGTTGTTCTGAACCCCTGTGTATTTTTAAACATGTAAGAAAGGTTTAAAATAAAGAATAAAATAGTATTCTATATATCAAAATCAGACTTTGCTTCAGTTTAATAAAATACTTAACTTGGAACAAGAGTTTACTTCTTTGGGATCAAAACGGAACTGTTTTACATTTCTGTGGTTTGGGTTGTTTACATTACCTCTTGTCCCCTGTTTGCCAGTGGCATCTTGGAAAAGTGGAAATGCACCCTTTAAGTTTAGAACAGTTCAAGGAAACATAATAGTATAACTTTTCAATCATCATAAATAGGACCTTCAACATGTATAATTTGAGAATCACATTTTGATTCCTTTAGTTTGGAGTGGGCATCTAGTTAGAAAAGACTCAACAGAGAACCTGAGGCCATATTTATTGCACTTTCCAACTCTTCTAGATCTTCCTTATAATAACTCCTAACAACAGTTGTGTGCCAGGCACGTGGTAAGTTTTACATGTAACATTTAATCCTCACTATGACCCTTTGAGATAGCTACTGTTATTCCCATTATAGAGACGAGGAAACTAAAGAAAAGTGACTTATCCAAGGTCACTCAGTAAGGGCAGTGGCAGAGGTTCAGTCACACTCAGTCGGCCTGGAGCCAAAGCCTGTGCACTTCACCACTATGCCCTACTGCCTTTCCCCCAAAAGCCTTCAGACCTTGGTACTTCTGTCTCTGCCTTTTCCCTACAAAGTTTCTCTTTCTTTTTTCTCACCTAAATCTTTTGCTTCACTGCTTTTTCTTTTCTTGTGATATCTTTTTCCTCGATCTTACAAATCTCTTTGATGAAAACAGCAATCTTAATAAGCCCAACCTTGCCAGGTTAGTCTGTAATCAAACTGAAACCCCGGGACATGATATTGCCTTGACATTACTTTTGTTCATTTTTGTTAAGTTTTCCTTGAATAGCCTTTTCAAATTGCTATAAATTTCTTATTGAAAGAGATTTTTTGGAAGGAGAGTGGAGAAGGAAGGCTTTATTATAGCCTGAAAGGGGAGCCTCTGTGAGGCAAGTTCTAGGTTTAGATTCTCCACTTATTGTAATGTATCCTGTGCAACTAACTCTAGGGTAGGCCATTTAACTTCCTTTTGACATACTTTAATATGTGTTTATATAATAAGATAACAGTAAGTTTGAAACTACTCTATCTTTTTCAGAATAATATACTTTAAGAATAGGAAGCATAGCCATTATTCTTATCATTATATTGTGTTCTCTGGAAGTTACCTAATTTGGTTATAAATGACAACCAAACAGTAATGCTGTAGTCTATTACTAATGGTTCCATTACCTGTGGAGTTGCTTCTAAAGTTATATAATGTTGAAAGGCTTTATAACCTACCAGTGCATGAAACCTGGGTTGAAATCTTGGCCCTTGTTTGAGATGAAAGATATCCAGCAGGCAGGTGCTGGGGCGAAACAAGGATAGTTTTGAGATTAACCTACCTCCTTACTTTGTTTTGTATTAAATGTGCTTAAACATCTGTCCTGCATCAGGTTGGCAATAGTAGGAAAGGATTGCTCAGGAATGCTTTGCCGTTTGTCTTTGCATTTTAGTTTTCCTCACCTACTAAAATAGAATTTAAGGCATTTTGTCAGTACAGGTTACCTGGAAGAAATAAAGATGATTAAGCAGATTTGTTCTATATGTATCATTTTTTTATGGGAGTGTAGGAATAAATGGAGTTGTTGCTTTAGAGGACTTTCCTCTGTCTCTCCCCACTCCAGAAGCTAATCATTAGATGTGAAAACGATACAAGCATGTGATAAACAGATAAAGAAGAGTAAGATGTAGGAAAAAGCTAGTGTAACATGCTGAGCACAGCATCACTTGTGTTCAGGTTGGAGCATTGCAGTGCACAGGAGCTTATGTTACTGGGGATGCTCTATTTTGATGTGTAGGTTCCAGCAGTTGCTCTCTTTCCCTGAGTAAAGCTATTTTGAGATTAAGAAGGTTATATAGAAAGTGGCATACTCTACAACCAAGTGTGTAGACATTGGGGAAAACAAAATGACCAGTGTTTCTTGGAAATGAAAGTTTTACCCAGTGCCAGTTTTGCTGTATAATTTAAAATATTCATAACTTTTTAAAATAATAAAGTGGGTGTCTGATGTGATTAGTTATTTCTTTATTAATATTCTGTCTTAAATTTTATTTTTACAATGAGCATTTACTTTTTTTATAATTGTGAAGAGAAATTGTTTTATTAAAAAGAATGCTATTTAAAAATATTTTGACATTTCACAGAATAGTTTTTGTTTATTCTGTAAGTAACATCCAATTTTGTCTTAATACTATTTTGCTTTGGAGATAGTTTATATAATTTTCTGACTTTTATAATATTTGTTATTTTAGGTAGATTTTCAAAGAAATTTGGTGGCCTCCTGCTTATGATATTAGATATTCTTGCCTTATTTTTGCTTCAACACAATCGGTTTGAAGTGTTATTTGCTGAATCTGAAATGGATCTCAGTCACTGTAGGGTTTTTTATGTACTTTTCGTGGTACCTTCCAGCATTTTTTTCACATCTTTAACAAAAGGATGACCTTGTATGAGGGAAATGGGTCTGGCTGGTATGATAACTGCATTTCATGGATTGGCAAGATTCTGTTTTCAGTCCCCCCATCTCATCTCAGAAGATCATATCTATAACTTTTTAATGATAATTTTATTCTATTCTTATATATGATTCCCCATGAAGGTGAAGAAAAGCAGTAATAAACTCCGCAGGAGTCTGGTGTGTCTGATAGATATTAAACATGAAACACATATGATATCAGTACCTTCACCATAGTAAATGAGACCAGATTAGTTTTTGAGATTCTAAAATTTGTAGAAGATAAGTATCAAGAAACATAGGGCATAAGAGTATAATTTATTGAATGGGAATATTTGCTAAAATTCTAAAACTTCCCCAAATACTACCTTATACAAGAGAAATCACTTTTATCTTTGACTTAAGAAATTTGACTCTAATTTTATATTTTCTACTTAAGCAAGTGTAAATAAGGTTGATGCCAGTTAAAAGTGCCCAAATATACTTTATAAATTCGAAGTTGTGGAATTACTTTAGTTGAGAGGCCCCCAAAAAATCAAGTACAAAATTATATAGCCTGTTCATTAAAATTTAAAATATATCTTTGCACGCAGTACAGACTGTAGCAAGAGATGACCAGTGCCTTTGTCTGAGGTTATGCCTGACACAAACCAGTGTTCACAGATATATCCTGTGTAAAATACAATCTTAAAGCACTTATGTTCCTAATAGAGTTTGAAGTTTAAAATAGGTATTATTATATCACATATTTTATACTAATAGCCTCTTCACAGTTATTTCACTCTTTCAGGAATTCTATAATAAAAATGCCAAATTGATCTTGTAAACGATATATGTAGAGAAGATTAAAAGATACTTAGTAAAGAAGCTGATGAAAAAAATCCTGAAAATCCTGGTTTTAATGTTTTAACAAGTTAAATTATATTTGGATTTTTCTTATATCTATTATTTTGGCAAGGAAAAGATGATTCAAAATTGGTTTTTCAGAGTTGCTTGAAGTTATCAGTTTTAAAATAGAGTATAGTTCTTTGTTTGTACTTTTGTATAATGTATGTGTAGGTTTTTGTGGAATGTTTTTCTTGCCATAGGTTAGATTTTAAAATGTAATTTGTATTGAAATTACAAATTACAAATAGATTACAAATTGCAGATTTGTAATTGAGATTACAAATTACAAATAGATACACATTCAAATTGCTGCTCTCTTCAGATAGATTTTGAGGGAAAACTTGCCATCCCAAAGATTAGTTTATTTCCCTACTTTCATTGCCCCTAGGCAATTAAAAAAACTTATTACGTGTCCAAGATCTTAAAACTTTACTAGTAAGGGGACATATCTACGTTGTGAGTTCAATCCCCAGTCAGGGCACGTATGGGAAGCAACCGATCGATGTTTCTTTTTCTCTCACATGGATGTTTCTCTTTCTCTCCCTTTCTCCCTCTTTAAAATCAATAAAAACATATGCTAGAGTGAGGATTAAAAAAAGGAGATAGTAAATTATCATGTTTTCATTGGTTTGACTTCAAGTAAAAGATCTTAGAGATTCACTAGGTCTTCCTGCCCTTTTCAGAGTAGTCAGTAGACTGAAGGGTATTAAGAGAAGACCCCAACGATTTCTTATAGCAATCATTTGAGTGTCTCTACCTAACATCCACCAACTTGCCCTTTTATATTAGTACCTTTTAATTTTAGACAACT